GGCTGGGGAGAGGGAGGTCTGGGCCTCTTTGCTTAGGCTGCTGCCCCCGCGACCCGACCCCGGACAAAGCGGATGACGATGGATGGATGGATGGATGGATAAAGTGATATTGATTCATTAAATCCTGAATCAATTTTTAAATATAAATGTTTAATTACAAACGACAGAATCTCAGCTTAAAGCTCATTAAAGTATTTAAACAACCAGCAAACAGCTAAAACAGTAAATGCGAGCAGGTAAACGGACTCCACACAAAGAAACACGCAGCGTGGATCGTTCACCCGACTGTGTTTTATCCTCAGTTACTTTGACAGAAAGGCATCTGCTGTGATGCTCACACCTCTGATCAAGTCTTTGTTTTTATACATAGATATAAAAATGTAGATATGTACTGATGAGCAGAATTTTAATATTTCCGACTGTGTCAAAATGTAATCAGTTATAAAATCAGTGAGGATTCTCAGGCCCAGCTGCTAACGCAGGCCTTCAGAGCCACTTTCAGCAGGCGCTTGCACACCTGCCTTTTGAGGGTAATTCAGTGTCCATGAACAAGTCAATTACTTACTGAATGCCATACAAGAGACAGAAAAACAGCTCTATGCAGACGGGTAGTTGTTCTTATGTGGAATGTAAACCTTTTCTACATGAATCAATCTATGCAACAAAAATGTCTGCGTGCTCTTTAACGCAGGGCTTTGTGTTGCTTTAACTCTTTAAAATGATCCAAATGTGTAGTAATGAATTTGAGGCCACTTTCTCCTCCTTTAGAAACGCTATGATTTTGTCAGTGTGCTTTGGATCATCACGCTGGAGTATTCCTGGGAGAGCTTTTTGTCAGATTATTTTGGTACATCCACTGGTGTAATTTATATCTGTCATCTCCCCCTGAGTACTTCGACTGTGGAGACGACACATTCATTGTTAACATCAGTAAGTTCATCTTGGTCTGTTCTGATCAAAGAATGCACTCCCAGTATTTATTCGATTTCAGCTCATGTTCTTTAACTAATATTCATTTTTTAATAAACTGAAAAGTTTATTAAAGTTGTTTGTTTTTTTTCCTTTGGATGCAATCCATAGTCGCTGTTATGCAACCTCTTCCTCACTGAATGAACTCTCAGTAATAACTGCTCCACTGAGCATTTGCCCATGTATGTTTTCAGGGCTAGACTGTGGAGGTAGCACGGGCTTATTTTAGAAAAGCCTCTTCAGCTTGTTGTACGTCTCCTCCTGATTACTGCTGCAGCTCGGTGGTTTGTTTTGGCTGGTCACACACAGCACAGACTGGCAGATACACTCAGGAAGTAGAACATCCACTAATCCCAATTCAATCATTTAATCAACAATCATCCTAAAGGCAGCTCCCAACATGAGGACATAACCAATGTAAAATTATTAAGTAAACCAAACTTCAGTTCCATCATTTTTTCACGTAGTCTCGAGTTATTCATTATCTTCACACATTGTAAACTCTGTCAGCTTTCCCGACTTGGATTGAAATGCTTGGATGTGAGCATGTGCAGTAGCCCGATTCAGGCCCAATGTTGATCTCAGAGTAGAAGACAGAAACCCCTCAGTGCAGCATAAAATGGTAAATGGCCTGTATTTGTATAGCGCTTTACTAGTCCCTAAGGACCCCAAAGCGCTTTACATATCCAGTCATCCACCCATTCACACACTGGTGATGGCAGCTACATTGTAGCCACAGCCACCCTGGGGCGCACTGACAGACACTGGTGCACCGGGCCCTCTGACCACCACCAGTAGGCAACGGGTGAAGTGTCTTGCCCAAGGACACAACGACCGAGACTGTCGGAGCCGGGGCTCGAACCGGCAACCTTCCGATTACAAGACGAACTCCCAACTCTTGAGCCACGATCGGCCCCTAAAAAAACATAAAGAGCCTCAATACTGGATTTGAACTTTTTTTTTAAGCTTGTAATAACTGTGTGACACAATGCACAGCTGACATCATCTAATGTTTGTTAAAGTTAGTTTTCCAGCACTAACTATCTCAGCTAATCGGTGCTTCACAGTTAGACTTAACTATGAGGGAACATTAGGGTCACATTGAGAATAAAGTCAGAAGCTTGAGATTAATCTTGAAATGCTATTTTGGTGCCTGTGACAGCAACGACTTTAATCTCCACATTTTGAATAATACATATATTTTTACTCTTAACGGGGCCCTAATACTCCGTCACATTTGGGAGAGAAACTTGTACTGAATGTGTCGAGGCTTTGTTGCACAGCCAACAGCAGCTTTTCTTACCACTGGTCACAGAATGCCTCGAACATATTTTAGTTATTTCAACTAACAGTGAAAGTAAACAAGTTGGCGCCCTTTTTCTATTTTGCTCGAGCTGACAGAGTGAATGTAGTTTGATCCTCCAGGTGTTTGCAGAAGGTAAACTCCATACAAATAACCACAGCTCTGGCTGTGTTAACTTAGCTGCAGAGTTCACGCTCAGTGAAGTTAACACACAATAACTCAATCTTGACAGGGAAATAAGTGGTTCCTCCCAGAGCAGGTCTGAGCTTCGAGCTGGTTTCACACCACTCAGAGAATGTTTTTTTGTGTTTCACTTGGTAACAGGGTTAAAATAGATCCAGGATGTCCCTGCTGTGTTTGTGTTGGATGCCCAATGACAGCACTGAGCATTTTTCTCTTCTTCTTACAGTAGTTGATCAACTTACACAGACTCGTAGTGTTCAACTGTGTAACAACTGCTAGCCCCTACACTAAAACGCCTTCAGTAAACAGCTGTATTATTCTGAAGCCTGGACAAAAAAACAACACAATGTTAAAGAATAAAATTAAATCTGATAACTTTGACAAATATAACAAGAATAAATGGACTCACCTTTAATTTGTCTTTACCTTGTCTGTGACAGACACAGGCTTGTCTTTGTGTTCCTTAGTGTCTCTCGTGTCATCAGTGTCCTTTCCTGTCTGGTCATTCTCTTCCTCAACACCTAGCATCACACTCTGTCGAACACTGACAGAGATCACCAATGCCTGAATGATGCCATAGATCAGGGCAAACTGCAGGAGATACTCCTGGATCAACCAGAGTAATCCTGCCATTCCAACTGTGGCGACAAAAAACATAGCCATACCATGAAACCACAGTCTCAGTGCTCCCTGGACACCCAGCACCTCCAGGATAAGCTTGGCAGGAGGTGACACAGTCCACAGGAAGCCAACAACAAGCAGGTCAAACAAGTGGCGTAGGAAGTTAAAGCAGATCTCGTAGTGCTCTGGTACAATCTCCACGTTCCAGCTGTGTGCAAACAGTCGAAAAGGAGAAGTCAGCTGAGAGGGAGAAGGGGTGGGGGACGGAGGGGGGGTTCCATAATCAGAAAAGTCTCCATCAGTATCACGTTCCCGTGGATCTCCAGTCCCACCGTCACGTTTCCTGTGTCGTAGTCCACTTAGCTCAGTTTTCCTTGGCCACAGATAAGAAGTTGGAAGATATCTATCCCACCACCTAGGCACCAGTACAGTTTCAGCCTCTGGCTTCCCTGCCGCCAGATCTTCAATTTTAATGGGCTGAAGCTTCTCCTGTGCCTCCCAGTACTCCTCTACTGGACTGCTTAGTTCATGCTGACGTCCCCATGAACCCCAGATCCAAGCCTTGATGCCCCAACCACCACTGCCACGCAGCTTTTGGCGCTCAGCTGTCAAAACGTTAGTGTCCTTTGACCTGGCACCGCTGCTGCCCCATGAGCGGACCCACCCCCACGCTTTGCCCACCACAGCTGCCATGTCTGCTCGCGGAGCTTGTTAGAGCTCGGTTAAAATCGTCAGTTTTCACGTCCTGTTGGCTTCCCGAGCTTCAGAGAAAAGCATGCACTCGCTGTCGGTGCAGTTATGAAGTTGAAATACTTGTTCAGGAGGCCTCAGGCCTGGGCAACGTGACGTCCTCGGGTCATCGCCACACCTGTGGGTGTGTTCGAGCAGTTCAGCAGACAAAAGGTTACACTCGCCCCCACACTACATTACTTACAGGGCTCTGCTCTTAACGAGACTCCACCATTTAAAGTCCAGAAGAACAGTCTACATGTTTGGTTTCAGCTGACAACCTTCGAGGGTGCTTTCAGTATTTCAGCGACACCTTAGCACAGAGGAACTGGGAAAGTTGACGAAAGCTTCAGCTCAGCGTTAGCCAACAGTTAGCTTATTCTTTGGCCAGCCCTTCCCAACAAAAAAACAAAACAAACTTTTTTCAGCCTCTCGAAACGCATTTGTTAACTCCTCAAACAAGTAGAAAGGTTGGTTTACGCGTGCAGTTTGGTATCCAGCTCCACGTCAACATCGTGCAGCTTTGCTAACACAGCGGTCAGCTGCCCTACAGGTTACTCACCACTGAGCGAGCTGTTTAAAGTTTACCTCACATATGATTTTTCGGTGTGAATAAACCTGTCAGTGATAAAAGTCAGTAGCTAAAAGCTCACCTTCGCCGCTGTTAGCTGCTTTGTCTGAACCCAGCTAGCGCTACTCGTTAGCATGAGGTAACTCGATAAACAGACTAGTTGCTCTGCTTCAGGACGTCGTGGCTCAAATGTCCACTGTGGAGAGAAAGGTCCGTGTCCACTTAAAGCTAAGGGAAGGCAGGTACCACTAAGAGCACTCCTAGTAAGCACAAAAAGGTCGCCTGAACGGTTTCCCCGCTCATTACGAGAACAAAGACGACGGACTACCGGGTCGCTTTCAGCCTTCAAAATAAAACCATGGTTACCGTCAGCGGGTCAGCCTCACGTGAGACTCGTCCTCTTCAGTGATGTTGCCAACGTGTAAATTAGCTTTGCACGTCAGTCAATTTCACGGAGGCAGGTGTTTGTAAAACATATCAAACTACACAATTTCTCAGGTTCTGGACAAACCCGATTTTATATCAGTTCAGCGTAGAAATACGTGACCAAGCCGCTTTCAGCTCAGCCTTTTATTCCTTTGCATGAGATCGTTTAATGATGTTGGATAATTTTGCCACATCACTAACATTTAATTCCAGTTTAGCCATGTGCAGCACTTTAATACAGCATTCAGTCACCCATCAGTAAGGTTTCACACATTTATATAAGTAAAACGTTGCACTGATGTGTAAGACCGTAAACCCAAAAGCTGCTTGGGGATTATACAGTTACAACCATCTGATCAGTGCATGAGAAGAACTTGTGGCAAAACTGTCACCCACTGAGATTAGCTTCCAAAGCACAGTGCTCTGACTTTACTGTGATCAACCCACTGAAGAAAATAGCCATTGGTCGTGTGTGGTCAACCTTTATTGTCCTTAAATACAGTGGTTTAAAAACAAAACAAAAACCACATTCAACATTCACACAGATGAAGACACGTTGCTTAAAGCAATGGAAGACGTGCACTGCTCCAGCTTGATGCTTCCATCAGATGACAGACGAGGCTCTTCAGTGTTGGGAGTGCCACCTCTGCAGTTACACCTGTCAAAGGACAAAAATGAGTTGAGACATGTAAGGGGGTGGGGGAACTCATTGTCACAGAGTTCACAGTACATCTCCAACTTACAGCACACACACTGCATCTCATACTGCAGCAATGATCACTTGAATAATCCACCTACTCACACCAACCTGCTTTCTCTTCATGAAGGTCATCCAGCTGGGGCTGCTACGGTCATGCCTGACAAGATAACAGTGATGAAATCACAAGCTCTTTCTCATCCACATATTCAGGAAGCGCTCCAGTCTGAGTGTCTCAGTGCGCTGCGAGTAGACTTCAGTTAACATCAGTAGAACCGAAAAACTGAATCATCATCGACCAGACTCAGGAAACAGCAGCTCCATTTCAACAAGCTTGGATCATTTGAATACACAGGCTTAGCTGCGATATCTTAGTATAATCTGCTCATGATGAAGTATGGTCACAGAGGTGACCCAAAATGAACACGTTTCTTACTTACAGACATGGAGAGAGCAGCTGTGTGCAGACGAGCTACAAGACAAAAGAAAGCACCATTAGCACCTGACTTATACCAGTGAACACATTCAGGGAAACCACGTGTATGGATGCTTTACCCATTTACTGCAAACACTTCAGACTTGTTACATGACTATACAACTTCTCCCTGTGAGAATCTATCAGATGACTAAGACACTAGTTTCAAACATCTGAAGTATTAAAATGGTAAATGTGTTTTTATGTTTTACATGTGCTCAAGTTTGGAGACGGTTAACCAAGTGCATACTTGAGTATGAGTACCTTTACTCAAAGCAATGAAACACAAGCTTTAAGTGTTCTTTGTTGGACAGACCTGAAGAAAGCCCAGCCATGATTTAATGTCTGTAATGTGCAGTAAATGGGCTGCTGTGGGTTTTGTGGTCAGTGCACTGTGAAAACAACTTCATGCTTTTCAGAGACTCTAGTCTATGCAATCATCATCCCACATTAAGGCACAGAACAATGTTTAGAGTCCAGGCTTACCCAGAAGAGCTATGTCCAGCAGATAAAACCATGCTGAGGTGCCTGCAGAGTACAAAGGAGAGTTTTAGAACTAGCTCTGATTGTAGCATTCACATGTTATTAAGAAGTAAAATGCTGTTCAGTGCACTGTGAAAGAGCTTCATTGTGTATTCAGAGACTCTAGTCTTATGAATCATCATATCAGCATACTACTTCCTCCATCACATTAGAGGATCTTTCTAACACTCACCGTCAGCTCGCAGCTGCAGACTCCACACTGTTCTGCATCTGCTCTTTGCAGCTTTCTGGAAAGCAGAGGATGCAATTTCCAGTCAGTTTAGTTTTTATATGGTAAACGTTCTAGAGCCATAGTCCATCTTCAGAAAGATCTACTTCACAGCGAGGCCTTAGAGCCCTACGATATTTATTTCCAGGGCTTTAATACATTTTTAAATATACCAGCTTCACTGTGCTAGGGCAGGTAACCGCATCTCACCAGCAGAATTACTATGTACTGCTCTAATTTGCTGGCTTTGTAAAATGGTATTACCTTACCCCAGTTAACTGCTACATATTTGCACTGATTACAATTTAGATGGAAAAAACGCGTATTTCACCTGCTGTGCACCACGTTGTGTCGATGCGGACATGAGCTGTTAGCTGGACAATTTAGCATTTTAATACTGCCCGATTATAAGGCTTTACTCCAGCATAGCCTAAAACTACGGTAAAGTATCTGATTAATAATAGAAGATTACTCATTCCTACTAATAATTTAAATTAAAATCGACACTGAAAACAGAACCTTTGATGTAATACTCACACTCTTCCCCTAACAGCTTCTCCGGAGGTAGACTCTGCAGATTCACTACCCTAACCCCACTTTTTCTGCACAGAAACGAACAGGACCTCAACGAGGCCAGGCTCCTGGCCACGTGCTGAGCACCTGACCCGCGGATCGCGTGCCGCTCGTCCCTCGCGCTCTGCAGCATGACTCTGACCACAGAGCTCTCCGAATAAACCCTCCATTATCAATTCAGAGGTTAATCTGTCTAAATGCTAAAGCCTTGAACATCAGCTCCTCCTCCTTCCACAGCCAGGACCCAAAGGCTGAGCACGAGCGCGCCCAGGGCTTATATATCCGGGTCCTTCACCGCTACCGGACTTTTGGTGGCCCGAAAAATGCCCGTTTCGGCCTGAATAATGCCTGTTTGGAAGTCAGGCCCCAAAGAAAATGTGAACACTTCATAACGCTGTCAGTTTGTGCAAACAAGCTATGATACACAGATACGATATATTTAAAATACCATACACAAGAGAGCAACGAGATTAAAACAATACACCAAATCTCTCACTCACACACACACACACACACACACACACACACACACACACACACACACAC